TTTCTGTTGTCTGGGCTGGGATTCGCTGGAGCATGCCCCTTCTGCAATGCCCCGCGCATACCCTGGCACGCAACAGGTGGCATCAACGTAGTCGTTGTGGCAGATGCTTATCGCTCCACACTTTTTTCGGCGCAGAATTGTACAGAAGGTGCCGTGAACAAGTTGCGGGACATCTTGAATAATTTTGCTTTTGTCGGCCATCTGTGTGACGCAGCTGTTGTTTGCGAAATATGATATTGGCGGCGTGTGATAATTGATTTTTTTGCTATGATCTGATCGGGCCAACCGTAGAACGAACACCATTGTAGCTTTGTCTACAATTGTTTTGCTGATGCGTCTGTTGAGCTGTCTTCAGTGATCTCGTGTTTGCATGCTGTACTTTTGTGGCATGTGCGTCACGCATAATGTTTCCCGTCTGACCATCACCCATGGCTCTCTTCTGGATTCGTTCAACAAAATGTTCGCCGAATGTTCGAGATCCGAGGTGACAGCTGATGATCGTCCTGTTGCCAACATTCGAATGCTTTACAAGGCTCTCGCATACAGAGTTGAACATTACCTTGATGCTGCCCAACCCGAAGAACGGCATGGTTTTCGGTGAGGCCGACGCTTGGAAGAACATTTGCTCACAGTGAACCTTGTTTTGGACAAGTCGTTGGCAATTGGCATGCCCATTTGGTTTATCAGCGTTGATTTTTCCAAGGCGCCTGACCGAGTTCTATGGTCTCCGCTATGGCAGGCTTTGTTGCAAGCTGGCGTGTCTGAGCACTTGGTATGGATAATGCAACACATGTACGCTGGGCAACAAAGTGCAGGCAGAGGCGATGAAGGCCCGGAAGGTCACTGGTTTGACATGTGTGCTGGGGTTCGTCATGGCTGCGTGTTTATTTAGCCCTTGTTTGTCTTGCGCTGACTTCAAACTGGCATGGGGGACTTGGAGGGCACATGTTGGGTTGGATTTGGGGGGTGGTATGAGGCCTTTGCTTGATTTACGCCTCGCAAATGATGCCTTGATTTTTGCGAAATCTCGGCAAAGGGTATTCTTGCTGTTGGATGAGTTGGTGCGACAATGCGCTCGCATCGGCTTGATCTTGAATGCGGGAAAAAAAACTCCCCACCACTGAGCCTCCACCGCCCTGCCAACTCAGAGCAGGCACAAGTGGTTGGGGTGCCTTCTTTCGAGTCGTGGGCCTGGCCATGCAGCAGTTGATGTGGAATTTAATTTGAGCTCTGCTTCACCTGCGTTTCGTGCAAATCGGCAAACACCGTGCGGCAAAAAAATCTCTCTTTTGCATCGTTTACGGTACTTTGACACTGTCGTTTTACCTGTAGATTGCTTCGCTGCTAGGCACCGTGCTGTGCATGACGCTTGGATGTGGTTTTCCGTAAGCATCTGCGTCACGTTGTTGGGCCACCCCCTAACATTCAGTGGGATGCTCGTTGGCATGACATCCCACATGAATGGAATACTCGTGCCGCGGAGCACTGGGCGTGTACAGGCCGTCCATCATGGCCTTGAAACTGTTTGCAGCAATGTTGGAAGCTTGTTTTGCATGTTAATCATGTTTCCCATGAAGCTGGGTGAAACGGGTTTTGGCATGGCAACCTTGTGGAGCAAGTGGTGGGCAGGCCCAGGCCATGAGTGTCGCGACATGCTCGCGCTTGAAGGGTTGCAACGACAGGACATTTTTGGCACAGGATCCCGCATTGTGGTCAAGCCACTGCAAGGGGTATGTGAATTTCACGTTTCGGGTTCAAGAATGAAATCTCCTGAAAACAACCTCCTGCACAGGCAATTTTTGGCTAAATTTGTTTGTGTGACGCCCTGTGCCCTAAATGACCGCTTTCGAATCTGCGTTTATTGTGCGGTGCTGGAGTGGGCAATGCGGGATTGGAGATGGTGGGTTTGATTTTTGGGTTTCGTTGGCAAAGAAACTGTAGCCCATTGGTTGATTTAAAACTTGCGGAAGCATTTTGACGCTTGCCGATTCCAATGCTAATTTTGCGGGCATGTTGAAATTGCTACATGGGTTTTTTCAGGGGAATTTGGTGGATTTTGAACGTGTCCAGGAGGAGCTGTCCACGACAGAGGCACAGCCGCCCGATTGCAGACGGTTGGGGACACAAAAAATGAGGTGGTCCAAAACCCATGAATGGTCGGGATGTTTTCCTTCTGTGTCAAAAAATGCCCGCATGTTCCACCAGCACTGCGCACCAAATATTCTGATGCAGTTGTGACTTCGGTTGCTTGTTTTGGAGCTGGTCATCGTAGGATTTACAACGGGCATTTGCAAAAATTCAACATAAAATGGCGGCGGGTGCTTCGCAGCACGTTTGGTCCACCGCCTGGTTTGGACTGGAGCTTGCATTAGCATTGCACAGCTGGAATCTACGGGCGCGCGACTTCACAGAACATTTCCACGCGAACAGTTGAGCGGAGACATTGATTGGTCACCACAAGGGGTTCAGCTTTCTTGTTTTTTGCTCAGCACACTGTTGAGAAAAGTCTCCTCCACATTTGTCTGCTGATCCGACAGCAGGAGGTCAAGCCAGTTGCGCTGTTCCGTGAACATGGCCAATGTCCAGCATTTTTCTGCGTTGCGTGTACGTGCCCACGGGCCTGCTGGCGGGTGTGCCCATGAGCCCGCCATTGCGGGAATGCCCATGAATGCGTCAGCACGTAAACGCTTGAGCCCGCAAGTTGATTAATTGCGCCCAAGGATTGGATACCCACAACCTGAACTTCGATGCTTGACAAATGTGGCATTGTTCAGCGGTGGAATCCTTGAAAAGCTCTGCGTACATCGTAACGACATGTCCTAGGATTTTGCAATGCCGCGATATTTACCAAAATGCAAGGCGACACACCTGGGCCTCTCAAAGTTTTCATGCGGGCGCGTCATTGCGCGGACGTCGGGAGACGCAGTAGCCTGATGGGTGGCGCCAAACCGCGTGTCTGGCTGAAGTCGTGGTGAGTGTTGGGGACATTCCCTTGCTATGGTGCGCCACAACCCTGCCCGCCCCACCATTGTCTTGGGTCTGCGGCAATTAGGCCCCAAGTGCCTAAGACGCTGCACAAGCATGGAATGGAACTTGCACCTTGCCGAGACGCTCGTCGTGCAGGCACGGGCTTTGGTTTCCGACCCAGGGACCTGCGCAGCTGTTTACCCGAGCTTCTGGCTGAGATGCACCTGACGTGGTATACAGGCGGTATCCTCAACGCCAACGCTGCCCCCAGGCACCCTGCCGAACCTGTTGCACAGCGCGTGGCAGCACTTGCTGTGGAGTCTGCGCTGTCGGGCACCCAAAACGGAGCGTTTGCAAGTCTCGTTTGCACTTGCCATTTGTGCTTCCCATGTCCGAACAACGATCGCACTGCACACTCTGCTGCTGCGGCTGGGGAAGGTGCCCGCGTGCGTGCAGTTGCCCCTTTGCCAATTGAATCCGAAACCTCCAAGCTTGCAAACACATTGCGTGCGATTGCCCACGCCGCGTCCCAAGCGCAGGCTGAGGCTGATCCTGCTGCCAGGCCTGTGGGGACAAAGCGTGCTGCCGGCGTAGGCGCGTCCGGAGGTGTCTCCCCAGCACCACCATGGTTTTTGGGGTATGCCCATCGCACTCGCACGCACGCTTCGGACGCAGGATGTTGAAGCAACTTAATTTAATTAACTCGCATTTGTGGCAACAATCGGCATCCCCGCGAGCAAACTCAGGGTGACAGGCAAGCTTGCCAATTGGGCCTCCTGGACAATGCTCCAGCATCCAGGAAGCCAGGGCGAACCAACATGGCCTCCAAATTTATCGACGAGGGGTAGAGGCAAACACATACGGCACCGGGGCGCAACGCGAATGTTGTGGCAGCCTTGGCGGGGATACTGGCGAGCCATGCCTTTGCATGGGGGCTGCCTGGGAACGCAGCAATGCACCAGCAGGACATGCTCTCGGAAAGACCTGTGGAATGTGAGAATGGCATCGCATCCCCTTTGCCATCCCTGGCAGCACAGGTGCGACTGAAAACACAATTTTGCATAACACCCGTGGCAGACAACAAATGTCCAACCTGCCGGAAAACGGTCAGCATCATTTTTACCCACGCCTGCACTGAACACATGCCAGCCAAAAAAAGTGATCCACTGATTGATTGCGATTCGTGCAGCTGGTATGACCGGCGTACCTGCTAGTAGGGTTTGTTTTTGTTTGACCAGCCAATTATTGGCATGTGTTCAGGAGACACAAAGCACATGTGGCGAGTAACCTGGCTACCTTGTCATGGTGACCTCGTTCAAGCTCCTCACCCGCGACCAGGACGACCAGCATCCGAAGGACACTGACGTGTGGGCACTTGCCACAAACAGCAAGGTCATGCCATACATCACGTCGGCTGAGACACAGAAATAAAATGCGTGTACCACACGCAAACATGGCCCGTGTCCGTGCTGTCGTGTTGGCACAAACACTGCCACTGCAACTTTTTTTTCCAACTGCCATCTGCAATTCCCCCTTGTCAAACGCAAATTGCCAAGGCGTGTTTCAATTTATGATGCGCGGCACGAAGTCAAACCACGGGCCCGCACGGGCCAAAGATGCCAAAGACATGCGCACACAGAAAATTTTCAAATGCTGCTGTTTGCAGGAAAAAATAGCCCCAAAAATCTGCCCAACACCGGTTGCACAACAAAAGCTGCACTTTGAACTGCTCTGGCTCAGGACATGCAAAACATGCATGCTACCGCATGTTCACACTCCAATTATGCAGTGCGGGAGGAGCTCTAAAGCAATGGGCACACCCTTTTGTTTCCACAAAGAGAAACTTGAGTTTTGCGATTTGAAAATACTGGAAACAAGAGCGGCCCACACAACATCAACCGGTCCACATATCGATTGTTGGCATTTTGGCTATGATTCAAACAACTTGCAACGATGATGGTGCGTGCAAATCTGTTCATACCCTGATCACACTCATCTGCAAAATGACCTCACGTCCAGCAAACACCATCGGCCTTACCAGCCGGAGCATTCCCAATGTAATGGTATGGGCCTCAAGCGGGCATTTCCGACTCAGCCAAAAAATGCATCACACACTTGTGACAACCACTGAGGGCAAGACTGCCTGGTTTGATGCTTTTAGCTTGTCTCCAAACCTGATTCACAGAAATGCTCAACTTTTCCGCGTGGAAAACTGAACTAATGGGGCGCACGGAACTTGCTTCCAATGACAGCTTTTGGCCTCAAATGCTAGGCAAACTAACTGGTCCTCGTTTGGGGGGACAAACCGGGCACTCAACATATGACACATCTCAAACCACTTCGACCTTCGTCCCCACGTCGCTTCCTCATCCGGCGTGACACAAGTTCACACGAAGACACGCAAGCAGGCCAACAACATGATACACCACCTTTGGCCCGGACGCATTTCCTTTCCCGCCACCGGCACAAACGCCAGCCAACACTGATCCTTGACACAAAACAATGCGCATATCGCATTCATAAAAGCATGTCTGCTGTCATGGGCGTGTCCTGAAACCCATATCCATAAGCATGTCGCAGGAATTTTGTGCCCAGCCAAGAACATGGAGACATGTGAACTGTTGCGGACAATTCATATCTACGCTGTTGGACAGCTATACGATGACCATTCCACTCGTATTTGGTCTTTTGCAAGCTTTGGAGAGCAATCCATGTGTTACACTGCTATTCGCCAAGGCCTGCTGGGGCACAAACACGGCAAATGGAAATTGGAACAATTGGAAGCTCAACAAAAAAACGCATCACTTTTGAACAATGCAGTGCTACATGGCTAAAACGGACAATGGTTTGTGGACTTGCCCCAACTCACATTGCTGAAATCTTCTAATCTCAAACCTTTTGCTTCCAGGGGACAGCCTCAAAGAACACAAGTAAGATGTGAAATGTTGCGAATCTCTGTGGATATCATGTACGATATAATCCTTAAAATTGACGCGAATGCAGCACAAACATCCGCGAATAAACATCTGCATGTGACCAAAACCACGTTGCGCACTTTTTTCATGGGCCATACTTCCGACAGGCGATTTCAAACAAGGTTTCTGGCCTTTGCTTGTCTCAATCGATATGCCAACAGTTACCAAAACAAAAATCAACGTCAATTTTCGCAACCTTGCACTGCTGGTTCGCAAGCCTGAAACAAACCGAGGAAAAACGTCAATATTTCATGCTTATGAAACCCATACCACGCTCATAGGTGTATACCGTCATGGCCAACCAAACAGCACAAAACTTACAAAACTTGCTGATATATCAGATGCGCCTGATGACCGCACTGTTTCCACAGCTAACATGTCGCAGTATTTCCAAATGCATATCGAGCATCAATTTCCCAAATCAAAGTCATTCAACACGCATACAATTTCCACACTGAATATGTGCCATCAAACAATGGACTTCAAATTACAACTGAGCTCAGCTTGAGCGGTCTCTCTTCTTTTAGCAAGTGGGGAAAGCACTCAGCTTCATGAGACGAACCCAGCAGCACAAACAGCATAATGGTAGGCTCTACAACTAGGGTGTGGGTGGGTGGGACGAAAACAGTTTGCCTGCCTCAGCAAAAAGGCTGCAGCACAACGTGTTTTCCATGCCCAAAAAAATGCTTCCCACAAATATAATCCATGAGTAAATACATGTGTGAAATGGGTTTTTTTGACGCGTCTCAGGAGGGCTCTCAAAAAGGATATGCATGAAAATTGGAAACAAAGTGTCATCCCTTCCGGAAATCTGAAGGGAGTTGTCACCTCACGTAAATATATGGGTCCCGGATGTGGGTCTTCAATGTTTTTTCAAGTAAAAACCTGACATTTGTTTATCAAACAATTTAGTACTGAGCCGAAGCCCTCGTATTGTGGAAAGTCCGGAAAATCATCAACGAACTGACAAATCTAGATACAATTAAACGACCGGAGAACCCCACATGTGCAGTTTAACCTGAATCTGAATGAAATGATAGTAGGATGCCATTGCCCGCCGAAATAAAAAAGAGCAAGATGATTCTCTCAAAAATCTTAGGGGGTCACCCATTGCGATCTGAGATTTGGGGATTTGATTCTCCAAAAAATCTTCGGGGGACATCCCTTGATTTGAAATTTAGGGAAATCATTCTCTCAAAACATGTTAGGGAGATACGGTTTGCCATTTGAGATTTGGGGAGATGATTCTTTAAAAAATTTTCGGGGACCCTCCCTTGCGATTTGACATTTGGGGATTTGATTTTCTGAAAAATCTTGGGGGGACACCCCTTGCGATTTCAGATCTGGACACGTGATTCTCTGAAAAATGCTAGGGGGACACACCTTGCGATTTGAGATCTGGGGACTTGACTCCCGAAAAAATCTTAGGGGGACACCCCTTGCGATTTGAGATTTGGGGACTTGACTCCCGAAAAAATCTTAGGGGGACACCCCTTGCGATTTGAGATTTGGGGAGTTGATTCTCTGAAAAATCTTAGGGGGACACCCCTTGCGATTTGGGATCTGGGGACCTGATCCTCTGAAGAAAACTCAGGAGACACCCTTTGCGATTTGAGATTTGGGGACTTGATTCTCTGCAGAAATCTTAGGGGGGCGCCCTTTGCAATTTGAGATTTAGGGAAATGATTCTCTGAAAACATGTTAGGGAGATACGGTTTGCCATTTGAGATTTGGGGAGATGATTCTTTAAAAAATCTTAAGGGACGCCGCTTGCGATTTGAGATTTGGGGACTTGATTCACTGAAAAATCTTGGGGGGACACTGCTGGCGGCTGTCATCGAGGAAGTCTTTGGGGCAATCAGGATTGGGGAACTTGAGATATCGTCATGTAAATTTACTTGACGGTTTCTACGGCTTATGACCCCCTAGATATACCCTCATGGTTAACCTTGATTATATAGCTGTATGTCGACCGAATTATTGAGGATGCTCCGCACGGGAGCACGATTTTTGATGAAAAGACGACGAAATTTTAAGGATGCTCCGCACGGGAGTGGGCTGGCTTTTCACAATTTTAATTTTGCAAGATGCTCCGCACAAAAGCGCGATTTTGAGCGAAAAATCGACCGAATTTTGACGATGCTCGACACGGGAGCGCAATTTTCTTCAGAATTTTCCGGGTGCTCCGCGGGAGTGTTTGAACACAGAAGTCGACGGAATTTTTGAGGTAACTCCGCACGGGACCGCAATTTTTGATTCGGGGATGAATTTCTTGGTGAATTCCAGAAGCTCAAAAAAAGGCGATGTTTGTATTAGAGCTAATTGAAAACAAAACCATTTCCGGTGGTTTGCTTCCATTTGGGGATGGATTTGTGGTAGATTATAGGGGCTCAGAAAACGGCGATTTTGTGCTAGAGTTAATTGAGTAGGAATCCCACTCCGCCTAACCTCCGAAATTTTCACGACTGTGAGGACCTAAGCTTGCTGAAAACTGCCAGGTATCGGTCGACGCTTGGTCGCTTGAGTTGGCTTGCGGCTTGCTATGACGCGTGTTGGTATACTACGTGTCGATGCTTGCTCGGGGAAAAGCTGATCCCAAAGAAAGGCACGAATGGGCCATGAGGATGGTACTGAGGTACTTGAAGCATCTCCGAAGCTTCCAGCAGGTGGTGGAGCCCGTGGAAGAGTGGCAGTTGCTGTTGGATTGCTACGTGCAGGGCTCTTAATCTGAGCTTCACGGACTTGTTGAGGGAGCTAAGGAAGTTCTCGCTTTGAGAAGAGCCATCTCTCATGTGTTTGGTTGGAAGGAACCCTTGATTCCACGCATGTTCTGTAACGCTGAGGCTGCTTTGGTTATCAGCAAGGCTGACGGCTTTGAGGAAGGTTCGCCACATCGATATCCTTGCTTGTTGTATTCAGGATCAACTGAGGCAGAAGAAGCTCTATGCCTACTTTGTTCGAGGCGAATGGAACATGGCCGATATCTTTACGAAGACTCTGGATGAGAGGACTACGATCAAACACATGTCGAGCTTGGGCTTGCGTTATGTTGGCGTGGTTGCTTGCTGGGTTGAATTGAAGGGTTTTAGAGAGTTGTTTGCGAGCGCTTTGGTTGCGAACATCCATTTGTCGCTTCTGGATAAGTATGAGTTGATGACTATTGAAGATTGGTTGGTGCTTGAGTTTTGCACGCCGGTCGATTCATCGATGTCTGAGGCTGCTAAGAGCTACGATTAGCTCAATGCGCTTACAATCTCTGAAAAGGATGATGGTGCTAGCTTGGAAGCCGTCGGGACTTGAAGAAGATAAGCACTAGGCAAATTCGCTGGGCGCTGGGGCGTTCACATGTTTCTTTGGTCCAGTACCCCATGTACTGGCGGCAGCCCCTTCCAGCGGCTTCTGGTTGCCACACGTGGGCCTGCCAGGCGCTGGTGCCTTACAGAAAACTTTGGAAGTCCTTCATAGATCTGAGCCAGTACGCGCACCCCTGGGCGCTGGAGCGGCCTATTTATTGCTGAACAGAATACGGACTTTTTCAACTCTCTGTGAGCCTGAATATGCGGTACGCAAATATCCACATGCTCTTCATGGGAGTCTGTTGGGTCAAAATAAGGGGCATGAAATCATATTAAAGTTCATCACCCCGCCTGAGATGGTGCTTACAGCATACATCTCACATGAACTCCTGAGTGCTCTCAACTTGCGCTCGTGGCAACCTGAGAACTTGCGTGAAACTGTGTATCTACTTTCTCCATAGCCCCAGCTCAAGGCTCACAAAATATCACCAACACAATGTCACAACACAGCTTGAAACACACCATCACGATGACAATCCAAATTGCGGTATGCTCACACCCTACCTCAACTACACTCTGTACATCACTCAACGGCTCACCTGCATGAACCACGGCTGGTTCAAACACTGTGCTGGCGGCTGCAGTGCTCAACATGTTGAGCAGTAGTAGGCAAATGGAGGGATTGGTGAGGCCTCCATTGTGCAACGATTTGTTCATCAGCCTTCTCACATGCATTGACTGCTTGGCATTTTCAAACTTCGTCATGAGCTGCTCATATTCTGGCTGCCCAACTGGCACGAAGTAGTCACCTGAGGAATCCACAACATTGTGCATGAACAACAAGGCTTTGAGGCGCGCTGCTGATGCAGGAACTTTAATTCCAAGGTCTGATGGGTTGACGCGCCCATCAACACTGTTAACTGCCATTGTGCCCTCTGCCACTCGCTCTTGAATCCAAAGGTATCGGCCATCTAAGTGTCTGATTTTGGACACTCCAGATTTGTGCGCAATCTGTTTGAATGATTGGTTGTCGGTTCGCATCTGCAACTTGACACGCTGGCCGGTGACGAACTCCAAGACACGTTTCAAGAAGATACCA